GGGTTTAATCCCATTCATTAAGGATTAGACCTCTCCCCCTCCCCCTGTTTCTAGGGAGGGAGTGTAGCAAACACCTTGTATATGGGTCATCGTCCGAGACAGTCTATGTGTCATCCTGCATACGCCTGATTTCACGCTTTCCTTTGTTCCTCTTCTTATATGTTTGAACCTGCCAATCCCTAGCCGTTGAACTTCCCGTCTGGTCAAAAGCAATATGTTGATCCAATGATTGTTGAATAGGTGTAAACTGTTGCCCATCATTGGCTTGATACTCCTCCAAGAATGGAGTGCCCTTCTGATCAGCTACAATGTGTTGATCTATAGATTGTTGATTGTTTGCAGGTTGTTGCCCATTTTGAGCTTGGCACTCCTCCAAGATTGGAGTGATCACAACATCAGTATTCGGAAATTCCTGAATAATAGAAATATCATTTCCTTGCATAATTAGAGGACCCACTTCTCCAAGAGGCTGAAGTGCAGTACGTGGAGGCTGAAGTGTTGAATGATTTCCCGCGGAGGCAATTGAACCTACAACAATGTCAGCAGACGGATTAGATGGTACAGTTACCACAATATTATTGGGGTCAGAGATATCCCTGTGATGATCAAGAGTGTCACTAATTTTGAAAAGGGAAGGCTTCTCAACTACACTTGGGGCTAGGTTAGGAGGAGGGGGGATCTCTGGAGGAGCACTGTGCTTTTGTGATTTTAAATGGGGGTGTAAGTGGCAGTGAGAATTGTAATGACCGAACATACGACAGTTAGAACAATACATAGGAAAAGACTCAATAACAACCCTTTGCCAATATCCTTGATGTTATGAGCCTATCCAAATTTCCTCAAGAGCGTTTAAAGTGATGTCCCATTCAACAAGTACTCTGGCTTCTGAAGGACGGGAAAGATTAAAAGTGGGAATGTCCCCCTATAGACTGTGGTAACAAAGCGCAACACTTCTTGGTTAAAATGATGGAATTTCAGACCAAGGAGATGAATCCAAACCGAAAAGATTGGCGGTTTCGTCTGTTGTTCAAAATCCACAGTCCATTTCAAAATTATCATCGCTCTGTTATCAATTCAAACTAGTCTTCTACTAAATAAACTTGTGTAATCCTCTTCATTGTTAAGATGAATAAGGATGTGTCGCCCATCTAAATGTCCAATTTTTCACTTCCCAACAAGGTGCACAAACTTAAATTCCTTACCAAAAAAGCTTCAATTTGGGATGTCCATAAATGAATTGCTCGACTAAATTCAGACTACAAGAGGAAGCAAGCATATTACTTTTAGCGTCAGTATAAAAGATGACTGACTTACCATTCTTCCTACCAGCTTTCTTGATGAAACAAAATTCACCATCCTCTAATAGAGCAAATGATAGCGGGAACATACACGATTTAGGAGTACCTGTAGCTTGGGCACCTCCAAGGGCAATAACATAAGTTTGATCCGAAGCCATCACCTGTAGAAGCAGGAAACGAGGCATTGTTTGTCAACATCTTCGCGTAGATGCCCGAGTGAGGCGATGAATTTGCTTCGACGTGAACCCCTACCCTCTTCTTCGAGCATGACGAGGCGACGAACCTGCTACTACGCCATCCTATTCCCTTCTTCTTTGAGGACAAGGCGACGAAACTGCTTCAACATGAACCGCTATCCTCCTCCTTCGAGCATGACGAGGCGACGAACAAGCTACGTTCTAGTTCCGGCGTCAAGATATTGAGTATTACTCGAGTCGCTATGGAGACGCGACCAGAGTAAACCCTAGCAGAGCAAAACCCATCAAAATGTATATAGAGCATTGTTAGTATGACAAGTAATTACTAGTTAACAAAAGATTTTTTCTTACAATTGTGTTAATCAAATATCATCATGGAGTTCATATTTTTTTAATTAATTATGAGGATGCTTATAAGAATATTCAAGTTGAGGTGATTTTCATAGATGATATATATATTAGAATTAGAAATAACCTCAAAGTTACTAAAGAGTTTTTAATTGTAATAGTATTACACTAAATATCAACGATTCTAATTTTTTAATTACAATTTGCTCACAAGAATATTCAAATTGCTTATCATAGATCTTCTGCTCTATTCTAGATACTATCAACTAAAATAAGTTGAAAGTTAGATTAATGAGAGAATATTAAGGAGATAGATCGTTTAGAATTAAATGATCAAAAGCAAATTTTATGATATGTAATATTAGTAGTTGTGTTGTAACTAAGTGAGATTTACATACATATCACACAATTCTTTTGTATTTACATATCTAAAACTTAATTTTGATATTTATATAGATCCCAAATCTTTAATAGTGCATAAAAATAACGGTAATATTAAATTTTCCGAGGAAAAATACAAATTTTCATGCACGTGTTTTGATATGATTGTGACACTACAGTGCTATTTAAGTAAATATTAAAGTTTAGCTGTTAGATATATAAACACATAAAAATCATATGGCATGTATTTGAATCCCTCTATTACTGACTAGCTCATAAAATTATTATAAGATAAAGTAATATCTAGATGTGATAACTTTTAGTATCAAAGATCTATTGTACAGGAGAATGGTGATATAGTGAGGCTATTTTTGTTAGAATTAATTTGAATAGTTAAAATGGATAAGTGCTTCATGAGTGTTGTGCTAAAAGAGATGTCATTGAGAAGTAAATGTAAACTTTATAAAATTGTAGTTAGGCCAACAATGTTATATGGATCTAAGAGTTGGACTCACAAAGATTTTGATAGTTGAGTATCGTGAAATGTGAATGTTAAAGATGGATGTCTGAAAAAATTTAAAACGATAAATTAAGTTATATTTATATTGGATGAATACTTGGAAGGACCTCAGTTAAAAATAAGAGAAATGATGAGACTTAGCTTAGACATCAAAATTGATAGAAAACTCACTATTAGATGAACAGGAAAATTGTGCTGAAGCATTTGGAAAGAGAAAGGATAGGCCGAAGATAATGTGGATAGACATTGTTCAAAATGATTGTGAATAAGAGATTTAAAGCGTCAGATAACATTTTTTAGGACTGAAGATTAAAGCTGGCTCAAGATGGTTAGGATAAGTATACTGATGATGATATATTGACGAGGCTAAAATTTTTCTTTGTTGCCCATCCGGGCATCTATCAATTTCAAATGCTATGATTAGATCTTCTGAACAAATCACAATTTGTTAAATTCATGTCGAGTTTTGTTTCCTGCTCGATTATTTCTAACTAATCATTTTTTTTCTTGTTCAGGTTTTAGAACATTTTCCTTCAGTATTTGGAAACGTCAGATTGAATGATTTCATGCTTGCATATACCTTGGGTAAGTCACTATTGAAAGATTCAAATCTCCTTCACTGCATAGGCTGTATCCTAATTTATTTGCTTCCTTTTCTGTTGTCTTGTGAGTTTATTTTTCATTTTGTTCCTTTCAGTTATTTCTCGAGCATGGGGAACCTCTAGTGGCGTTTCCTTGGTACTTTCATAGAAAGGCTTAAAAGCTACACTTCTATTTGCTTATTTTTCTCCTTCTCTCTGTTGTCATATGTGGTATTATTATACTTTCTTGTAATTTTTTGATATAAAAAGTATATTGCAGGTTCCATTTGCAGATTTTCTTAATCATGATGGGGCTTCAGAGGCAGTTTTGCTTAGTGATGATGATAAGGAGATTTCAGAGGCAGGTAGTCATTTTCTTCCCATTGCATCAAATAAGCTATATAATCATGTAGTGAATATGATGTTTTCCTCGTGGGTCTTGATCTTTTGAATGTTTTGTAAAACTGCTTGTGTGTGCCCTGAATACATTTGAGGACCATGCTCAAGTAGTGCAGTTTCCAATAGAGTGTAAGGATGCAGACAGGTTTGCGATGCAAGTGATGCTTTAGTAGGATTTTAAAGAGCAGTAAAAGAGCAAGGCTAGATAAGCAAGGAAATAGTATTTGCATTTTCTTACTCAGAATGCCATTTCACAATATGTTGTAGTTTTAATTTTGATTTTTAAGTTCTGATTGACAAACTTACAATTCTTTTTACATAGGTGATTGCGGATCGAAATTATTCTGTTGGCGAAGAGGTAAGGTTACTCTTGAATGAATCTGGTACAAAGTTATTGCTGGAAATTATATCTTTCAGGATTTCTTATTAGAATCTTAAGATAATTAATCTGATACATGCTTCTTGACCCTTCATGCCCTTCATGCTGTGAAATGCCTTATTCAAGACAGTAACCATTGTTCTCTTTTTTCTGAACACATATCTACTTATCTAGTGATCCACATAGTATTGGTTGATGGAAAGCATCTCGAATGTCCATTCATCAAATCTTAAAATTTGTGTATTTCTACTACCAATCATCTAAATATGTCAAGCTTCTAAAATATGTATGTTTGGACGAAAAAAGCACCTTGCCAGATGCATAAGCTTCCAATTGGTGAAGCTTCATATGGACTACCCGGTACGGTGATGAAAGTGAAGTTATTGTTGATAGTCTATTGGCTTTAGTATGATAAACTAACTCTCTTCTTGGACAAACATATTGAATTCTCTTCTTCCATAACATTTAAAGATCTGTAATATTGTTTTATGTATATTTTATATTTTGCTACCACTCGCTGCGCAGTAATTTTTTGAGAAATTTGGTTACATCAAACCTGTGTTTCCCATTCTACTGTCAAGCTTTTGTATCTTCTTTTTGTATCTACATATAGGAGATTGCTAATTATGATTTATTGTGCTGTGGGAACAAATTCAGGTTCTGATAAGATACGGGAAGTTCTCAAATTCTGTGCTCATGTTGGACTACGGATTTACCCTTCCACATAATATTAATGACCAGGTTAATCTTCTTGCGATCCCAACTAGACTATCATGGAAATCTGATAAAGATTAATGTCTGTTTTTAAGATTTGAAGTAGCCTCCTTCCCGTGCATCTTACCTAGAATCATCTTCTTGAATCTTCCTTTTTGGTTTATTTTTTTTACTGTGATTGTGATTTAAATGCTGCTTCGTTGAAGTATTAGTTAAAATAGAGCCGTTCAGTAAGTTTTTTCCCTTTCTGCTCAGAATGATTAATGTTTAACTTGAAGGAATGGTGCTTTATTGTACTATCAATCTTCCATCCTTGGGACAATTGTTCTCTTATAGAATAAGTTCATCTCTTCAATAGGAAAGCACACAACAATAATAGAAATGTTCGAACTTGATTTTACTATCAAGCAATTTTCAAAATGTTGGAGACTCACGGTTTCTAAGCATGGAAAAGAAAATTTTGAAGTTGGAGGGTGCGGAAGTCCAAAAGTCAAATTAATGGAAGGGAAACCAACGAGTCATTTTTTATTGATGGAAATTTAAGAAGTTACAATTAAAGAAGTTAGAAAAATCTAATGCCATATAATTAAAGAAATTTAAAAAGATATAGAAAGGGGTGGCCAATGGGAGTGGGTACCACACCTCTCTTAATGGCATGTCAAGCACCCGTAACTACATATTTCAAAATACATGAAAATACTCAAATACATAAAGCGATTGAACTCAAAATATAATTGATTTGTTAAAACATATTTTAAACAAATTTCTCATCAACAAGCTCTTCTCCAAGGCTGCACAATTTTTTTTTCTATTCTTAACTTTGTTTTCTCCATCTTAACCCTCTTGAATTTGTGTCGGGATCCCTTTACGGAAACTCACAAGCCACTTAAACAAGATAAAAATTAAATCAGAAGCAAGAGAAAGAAAACGAAAGTTTCGAGTAGTGCTAAAATCACTCACACTTACCAAAATTTCTCTAGAGCCCTAAACAAAGATCTACGGCCCTCGGTCGTGCATGCGACCTGCTGCAGGTCGCAATTCTGCTACAGTGCAGAATCAGGCAGAAGCTGTAGGAGGTGAAGGAAACGGGAGATGGGGAAGAGGCACAGTGCTCTGTTATTTTACTGTGTGTCGCTCGCCCCTTGCTACAGTGAAGGATTGCAGAATCCTTCACTGCTGAGCGATCGAACAGGCGTGCAAGCAAAGGGTAAAAGAGTATCAAGAGTAGGGAGGAGAAATTTTGAAGGCTCTGGAAACCATTCGATCAAAACCCTTGAATAAAAAGACGCAAGAGGCGGTCTAGAACAGCGAGGGGATTAGGGAGGGTTAATTAAAGGGCTAATTAAGTTTAATTAATTTATATATATATTTTTATATTTCCCTTTTCATTATTTATATATAGTGCTTTATATAGAATTGATTGATTTGATGCGTATAATTATAAAATTGGTTCGGTAGAATTCTAAGGAATCTGAAAGTTGGGGTACATTTTAGTTTGCCAAAAATTTTACCCGATTTCACCAAATGATTTATTACAATTCCAATGTTATTTAAATATAGAATGAAGCATTGGAGAACATTAAGTTGGAGTTTGGATTATACTTCCCAAGCTTTGAATTTATCTCAAATTAAAAATGGCCAATTTGACCAATTCAAATAAATTTGTGTTGAATATGAAGATACTCTTTTCCATCCGTGTTCCTCCAGTTGAGTTGAACATAAAAAAAAAAAAATTGTAATGAGTTGACAACAAAAAGTTTTGAGCTTACTCAAATTTGGCTGGCTCATTTACAGGCTAAAATATCGAGCTCAATTCGAACAATTCGAGCCAAATTCAAATAAATCGAATTGAATAGGAACATATGTTTGACGAAGCATTTCGAACTCAAGCTAATTTCAAACACAAACATTTTCAAACGAACTGAACACGAACAAGAGTTCTGCTTGCTTATCTTTGTCTTTTTTACAAGCTCAAGTTGTCGTGGGGTATAATTATTCTTAAAGAAAATAAAAATGTGGAAAATTGTAACGGGATGTGGTACCGGAATTAACCCAAACAATAATAAGAATCCAAATATTATTACTGAAAGCAAATGAGATTACACTACACACAATTGAACAAGGAAATACAACAACAAACACAAGCAAGGTGAGTTTGTTTCAGTTGTGGCCGTAGAAAATCTCAGTTCAAAACCTGACATTGAAATCTGTTATTCAGAAACAGTTGGTCTATTTGAAAAACACAGCTCTGAAAGTGTTGTATGTTGACTAATGATAGTAATACCCCTTAGCGTATAAACACAATTTTGTTTGAAAAATACAGTTCTGAAATAAGAGAAGATATTTAAAGCGAACATTAACCCAAATTTTAAAGTTATTGTCAAATTACTTGAACTCATTTTCGATAACATAATCCTATAAATTAATGATTAGCACATAATAATGCGAGAAGCAAAAAAATAAGTAAAGTTAAGAGGAGATATAGAATTTGTATAATTAATGATTATTACCAGACTTGTTTATATTTATATACCAATGTAAAACTCTAATTTTTTTACATTGATACCATCTAATTCTTTCATAAGAAAGAACAAACAACAAAATGACAATACGTCAAACTCATAATTGTGAAGGCAAAGCATTCCTAGTTGAGCAAAATTTGTAATTAGGAAACTCATAACAACCAAATAAGATATGCTTCTTCCATCATAAAGTCACATTTCAAATATACACCAGCTGCTTTATGACGAACTTGCATTAAAGAGAATTGTGTGAAGTATATGTAAGTTTCCCCTCAACACACTGTTTTATAATTCAGCCACATGAACGATGAAAGAATAGCCTTTCATAAATTTACCGCAGTTAAATAAAGCTAGGAACAACAAATACTTCCAGAACAGTCAAATAATTTTGAAGAAAGGTTTTCACGAACACTAGGCTGGAGATTGAGGGCACGAGAGTAATAGTATTCACAAACAAGGGCACGAGAGGAATAGTATTCACGAAGGCTGCGAACCACACACCCGTCTGAGCATTTGCGTTGTTATTATCAGTAGAACGGCATTCGCGAACCCGAAGGCTCAAACCGGCGAAACAAACAGCATTTGCGTTGTTATTATCAGTAGAACGGCGTTCGCGAACCCGAAGGCTCAAACCGGCGAAACAAACAACTTGCAAATGTGGTTTTGAGCCGACCGTGGTTCAAAAGCCGAAACAAACACGCCCTAAAGGGCATGGTCAGTTTGTTGACTGGACGGTAGGAGGATGGTGACGAGGCGATGGATGGCTATAGGAGGTGGATGGCATGAAAAAGTTATACTTGGTGATTTTATTAATGAATCAATTGTCTGACTACATTCATCATATTCTATCTTCTTCAGATGAACGACTAGCTTAAACTATGCATAAGAGTCAGTTCTCATGGTTTAAACCCTTATATTGTAAATGATTGATTTGATGATTGACCTCTATGTGCACAATTAGTTTGCTTTAGTTGTGGGGTGGATATAGGGCACCACGTTGATGGCATGTTGATACTTTTGAAAGGATGGTGCGGCACACTCTTCTAACATACATCAAAGAACTTGGATAAAAGCATATTAATCTCGGATGGGGTGTAAAAGATTAATTGTAAGCTATTTTAAAGGATTCTAAGACTACAAGTGTAAATGATAACATTATTGACATTATGCTCAAAATTTTGTTTGCTAATAACATGAAAGGTCTTTTTTGGTAGGAATGGATAACCCGTTGGATTTCACATATTAGATTTTTTTTTTATGATGGATGTTGATTTATTATTAAGCCTTAACTTATTGACCTTTTTAAAAGTGTACACATAAAAATATGTCAGCACAATCTCAAAGTAAATGAGCGACTTAAGAAAGAGGTGCAGAAGATCGAGCGAAGGGCTACCAACGATCGTTTCCAGATGAGTATTGGTGAAAGAAGCACCTTATTCGAACGATCGACAGAAGTCGCCTAGAGAAAGTCCCGTAGGACGATAATCAACCCTTAGTATATTTGGCAAGGAGCACTGTTTCGGACTATATATTGACCGAACCAAAGATTATCAGATGATCGACAAGCTTTATCGATTTAATATGCAAATAACTCTATAATTGCCCAAACACCCTTTCTGAAAAGTTAATAAGGGGG